AAGGCTGGGAGCGGATCAGAGAAAGCGGTTGAGTGATAGTGTCAGCGAATTGCTGTTCTACGAAAGCATTGGCACTTCCTGAATTGCGTCCTATGCCCAGGTCCTTCTGCACGTACCTAAGCGCGTGCAAGTGAATTGCGGTGCTTCCAAGACAATGAGCGTTTTACTTTGGAAGTTTTGCGTATCACGACTTGCGGCCGCTAATCAGAGGGCGGACTCTACTTCTGTTATCAAGTAGATTACGCTTGAAGTTCACTCTAAGCCTTTTCTAAAGATCAAGTACCACAATTCACGCCGAAACGAGCAGACAATGTACGTATCAGTCTTTTAATCCACATAGACTACTCTGACACAAGAGCAGCATGTATGCAACATGTCGAGACTCGAAAATCGAACCTGGTCTTCGGTTTAAAGTTGTGGCATTACACCAGCAGAAGCGGTGTTGTCCTAAGCAAAGACACAAATTGCAGCCCCGGGGTGATCAACTCCGCCATGCAACAGATGAAGATATGTGGAGTCGTTGCATCTCAAACCACATGCTCAACAGACTGAGCAAGCCTAATTGACGTAAGCTTCTTCGCACATTTGGTATCAAAGTGGCGTCACTGTGCTTATATAGACAAAGAGGATTGAGCGGACAAAGACATCAAAAGCAGTTTTGTGTCTTTGTATCGGGCCATGTATCCAACCCTTGTTAGCTACAAGCCTAGAACTTGCGACACTGGACAAAACTCGTCATGGGTTTTACTTCATCAAGTGGCAGGAAATACATGCGGCATGGAGAACCGTCCGTCAGCCGCATCTGAGCAGCCTGTTCCAACTGGCGAGCAAATCCACAGCTATGTCGCAAAACATGGCATCATCATCTATAACACCCATCATCATCATTACCATACTAGCTCAACTATTACCAGTGCAGAAAGACATCAATCTGGAGCGAGCCAGCACTCACACGGAGATATTGGTACGCGGGGCGGTATACTTTCGACAACTGGGCCAGCTCAGCAAGATCATCAAGCAGTCACTAAGAGTCCCGTCGAAGCTTTCCGTCCCAGCTCGAGAGATGATATGTTACGTGATGAATTAGACTCAAGAGCAAGTGAGAGAGATCGCAATCCTCAGACTCTAGACTCAAGAGCTACAGGGGGCGGTGGAAATGATGCTGCGAAGGAACTCGGGAAGAAAGCAGTGGAAACCGGTACAATACTCGCCGTCCGGGACTGGTCGACAAAGGGCGAACGAGACGCAGCCAGGCTGTTCCCTTCTGGCACACCTCGCCTTGTAGCCATTAACGATGGCAAGAATATCACGCCCGCAATCACAGTGTCGCATGAGATGGCGGAGTGCATCAGTAAATCATTTCGCGCAGAACGCCACTATAAAAGTCTTTGGACAAAAATCGATGAGAATGGAGCTGAGACAGGAGAGAAGAAGGCTCGAGCAGTGAAGGATGCGCAACGATCTGACGAAGAACTGGCGAAGTTCGATACAGCGATGGAAGCATTATCGAGTGCCCCTACACCAGAGCAATTTGAGGAACGGAGAACGCTTGTTACCCGGGCTTATCTTACTCGCGTAGATCTAAATCGACTGTTAGACGCAGAAACTCAGTTATGGGGAGATTGCAACTTAGCTGAGCAAGCGTGCAGAGACGCATGGGAGAACGTCGGAGCTTTACTACTACCAGTCTGGGTGCGAGCGCGTGTTATAGAGTCTGATTCAATTGATGAAACAAGACTTCCCAAAGGAGATCAGAGAGGTATAACCCGACGAATCGACTGCGAGCCACCCACAAGCCTTCGTCGTCTTCGCGATGACGTTAAAGAGTCTGCCGACGCCTTGCGCAAGACGCGCACCCGGTTTGAGCATATGTGTCACCACTATTCGAGCTGGGCACCATGGGAGGATGGGGTTGCTGCAGAGTTCAGAGACAACGTAGTGAAGCCAGCGTTTTTGGACATGTTACGCGACGAGAAGGTAAAGCTGGAAGAAGCCAGAGTTGCTTATCGTCGAGCGGTGGGTCGAGCCTGGCGTGAGAAGATTCCCGATGTGGAGTTAGACTTTGATTGTGGCGAGGAGCTGGAAAGTACCGAAATGCTGTTACTTGACGAAGAAGATGCGATGTTTTTGAAGGAAGTGCCCATGAACGTACTGGAGGCTTGGATACGACGGAACTTGAACTGCGCTCCAGCTGAAACGCCCCTTTACCCAATCGAAGAAAGAGGTTTTGCAGAGGAGGTTCAACCATGGGAGAGCAAAAGCAAGGCGCTGACTGAACCTCACTCGGAGCAAAACGATCCAATTGTTCAACACAAAAGAACCAAAGATGAACTGGTTATCGACAGTGATAACAAGAACGGCAGAGTTCACAAGACAAGGAGACGAAATCGCACCAAAAACAGTCCAACGGTGTCACAAATCTCGATAAAAACTCGAGATAATAGAGTTAGACAAGCCTCACGATCAAAAGAAGACCGACATCCTAAAAGATCACAACGACAAACTGACCTACAACGCTTTGCTAATATGGACCGCGATCAAAGGCACGACGTCGTTGCCAAGTATAAGCGACGTTCAGTCACAGACTTCTTCAAGACTTCTAGGCGCCGATGATAGCGACCAAAACAGGGCTAAGTAGCTGCTGCTCAAGACGTTAGTGGTGTTTTATGACGCATTCAGACATTTTTGGGTTATCTGTTGCAACATCTCCGAGCACTTCGCAATGATCTCAAGTCTAATTGCTTGCTGACGTATAGCCACGACAGCCTTCGCAATCGCTTGGTCATCTGAAAATACTTATTACAGGTCTCTTGCGTTCTTTCCTGAGAACTAATCCAGGCAAAGAGCCTCCCGAGGTCCAAATGAGTCTGGCATTCACTCTATGTGCCCGTGCCAACTCGATGGACACTCAATGTCTCTGGTGCCTAGGCGGTAAATTCTCGCCCACGGTCTTTATATACTACAAGCTCTGTTCTCATCTACCTGCTCACTCAAACTTCAGTAAGTAAGCCCACTACCCACCTAAATACTTCGATCGACCCCCACCCGAGGCATGAACCGAAGCGCTTTCCCGAAAGATATGGACACCGCCGCCCCGCCAGCTGCGTTCGGACGCCCTCGAGCTTCATCAAACCCTGTATTCTCAACGTCAACTATTCATGGGACGCACTATATCGACAGAACCAGCGGCAAACGCGTGTACATAGACTTGAACCTGAAGACATTCTCGAAGCCCAAGGGTGAAGAATGGTACTTACACATGTACGCCAATGCCAACGCAGACAAGATCGTATGGCAGGGTACCTACGAGGATATCTATCCCAGCTCAGATGACATCTCATCAGTAGAAGGGTACGCATTGATCTGCAGCTACAGCTTTATGGACTCAGCAAAGTCCACGATCTCTGTCCCAGGATCGCCGCCAGTGTTCAAGAGGCCAAACCCTCGAGACTTTCCTCTCAAGATTGCGCCCGACTCTGGCTACCATTTTAGCGACGAGCATGCAGATCGTGCTCCACAGCAACAATACGAGCCCGCTTTCCAGGCCATCGCGATGATGAACCCTGATATCCGCTTCAACGAAGTGGATGTCGTGATCAACCGCACTACGATGTTAACTCTGATGAAGTGCGTCAAAAACGCTTCCTTCCAAGCGTTTCATCTTGATCTCGATTTAGAGAAGAACACTCTCTTTATCGGAAGGAAAGTACGCAACGCAAAGGTCAGGTCCGCTACCAATACCTACGGTCGTAACTTCGAAAGCGCCCTCACAGAATCCGAGATCGACGGAGCAACAACCCATCATCGCTTCATCAGATACAAGCTTGGTAGCCTCACCATAGTTGTACGCCATGAGACCGACGCATACGATCCCACGATCGAGTCGCCGCAAGACCCCGATGCACCACCGAGTACTCTTCCTACCTTTGTCCCTAATGAGCACGACGTTGAGACCATCCAGCATGGAGGTCCACAGAAGACGACCGTCCTTGTCCAGGGTAAGGCGGTGCCTCAATACCAGATTTTGGAGCTGAAGAGCAATGCAAGTTCGCGACCAATCGATCAGATGTGGTTTGGCAGAACCCCTACTTGCTGCCTCGGCGGGAAGCACAACGCTCACTTTGACGGAACATACAGGCAAAAGGACCTTCGGATCAAGGAAGTTACCCAAGCTGGAAGCAAGTCAGACAGCTTCAAGGGTTTCGAGAAGTGGGAGAAGGGCAACCAAGAGGCGTTGCAGAAGGTTGTGACACTACTCCAGCTGTTGCGGAAGACCGTCGGGGAGGATACCAAGCATCGGTCTGCGGTGCTTGTAGCGATGGGCAGTGATGATATCAAGGTGTATGAGACGAAGGAGAGGATTGGCGCACTGCCTAAAGAAATTGTGGAGCGCTTTTGGGATTAGAACAGGTCCTGGTTCGCGTGCGCGATACCTTGGTCAATGTAGTAGTGGTAACTACTTCTCAAAGAACGAGGGCATGACCAGGTAGAAGAAGACGGCTCGGTAGGCTCAACAGCTGAGTAAATCGTAGCCAAGCATCGTCATGACTGAACTTGCAACAATGGCTCTGTTAGTGGTCCCGGCTGTGTGGACAATTTTGGAGAACTGAACAAAGGAACGGCCCTTTGTTCGTTCGGCAAGTCCAATGTTGTCTGTGGATATGTTAGCAAGCCTCACTCCACTGTCATCTTGACACCTTCCCCTCGTCATAAGCCTTCAGGTGTCTCAAAAGATCGCCCCAGCCACTCAATCATTGAACACACACATTACGTTAGCCATGGCTAGGACCAGTTCGCGTCATGGCCGAAAGAAAAACTCAGCCGCCGACTTCCATCCTGCCGGAAGGAGAGAAAAGGGCGATATATACAAATCCAGACGCAGAATGAACGTCTATAACATAACCAATCACTATTACAATAGTGACGAATCGCGGGTACGTCATAACCCAACTGCTTCAACCCCACGGAAAACAGGCTACAGGCATGGAGGCGATAGCAACATGAGTGTGAGTTCGGAGGCCAGTGGTGGAGAACTAACATCAAGCGCTGCTGGAAGATCCCAAACTGGTGACAACGCCTCACCAGTTCGAGCTGAGGCTAGACCCGGGCAGCTAGAGGGTGAGTATGACCCAGAGAGACTCATCTCCCGTAAGCCCGCCGCTATTATAGCGATCAAAGAGGGCGAAGGATCGAAATTGGCTATCCGACTGTCACCCGAACTTGCAACGTCGCTAGAACGCGCGCTTCAATTCGCCGAGATATATCGTAAGACTTACGAAGCAGGGCAGAAACAATATGAGCGAGCCCAGGTAGACGAAGTCAATCACACCGAAGCTTTGGCTTGTATCGAAACGCGTCTTGCCCATTTGAGAAGGGAAGGACAAGTTGAAGATAAGGACCAGGTTCAGTTCAAAGATTTGGAGTCAAATCGTCGAGGTGCGCTCGGAGCTCGCAATAGAGCCCAAGAAACAATTAGGCGAGTAGAGGGTCAGTTAAGGAGTCATGATGATGGGTTGAAAGCTCGCTGGCTGGACGTAGAGATGTCGTTGAAGCAAGTGTGGGCAGAAGCACATGTGCCTCTACGAAAGATAGCCCGAGCACTACCGAGGCAAAGAACCCGAAGCTCATCTCGTCAGAACCAGGATAACCGGGAGGAGATGGCAGGCCGAGTAAGCCAACGGGAGGGTGGGAAAGAGAGGCTGGAGCGGTGCAATGATCGGCCGAGTGCTCCTCGAGCAGAAACAAAGACGCCCTTTGACAAGAGAAAACTTGTTGATCCGCATAGTGAAGTTCTCAGTGCTATAGCGAGACTTTCACGTCGCCATAAAGATCTTCTCCGGGCCCGGGATCGACGCGAGAACTATTGCCATAATTACGATCGAGAAGGAGCCAGGTACCTGAAGGCCGTACAAAACTCAAATGGCTCGAGGTCCTCCAACAGCATCAGGCAGGAGTTCAACAAAGCATTTCTCAGAGACGTGATACTTGACAAGAAAAGCTTGCAGGCCGCTAGAACCGACTACCTAGCTGCTCACGAGGAAGCTCGCAAACTCGGAATTCCTAAGAATTGCATTGACTTCGTAGAGTCTATCGATCTGCAGAGCTGTGATACCGGTATCATCATGGAGAAAGATGCCGTGAACCGCAGGGCCACTGAAGACGATCAACACAAGCTCGACAGCCGTATAAGAGCTTGGCGTACGTTGACGACTGCAGATCCATTACCGCAGCAGGTCATTGTCGAAGACAGTCCGGATCGGTTGAGCTCCACCAGTTCGACAGGTCGTACGGAAAGTTCTGTCGACACTGATGCATCCCGAGACCTGTCGGAAGACGCCGTGGTGAAAGGTGACGCTGGCAAACTAACGCGCGCAACACGTGAGCGCTTACAGGGGCAGCGTTCAGATGCAGGGACTGCATCCTCCGTAGTTCATGGAATTGACACTGGCGTAAATGCCGACAAGGAGCTGAAGTCACGCTCGGGGCCCAACCCAGAGTCGAGAGCCAGAGCAGACGATGGTCCAGAAGTTAATCTTTGGAAGCCTTCGGATGGTGTCAAGTTCTCGCGACCACCAGAAAAGGCGCCAGATGCGAACGACAACCAAAACACAGTCAAACACATTCCTCCTGTTAAAATTCCGCCACGCGGAGGCAAGAAGTCGATTGCTTATTTCTTCAAAGCACGGCCGAAAACGTCCAAATCAGCTGTCGATCCTGGGAAGGCGGCCAATACTTCGATTGCTGGTGAAGCAATGTCAGGAGAGAAGAGGAAAAGTAGCTCCGAAGGACCGAATTCCAGTAAGAAACGGACAAGATCTGAGAGACCGACCGCACCAGACTGAAGTGCCGACGTCCGTTGAGGTCTTTCTCAGGCTATCGCAGGGGCTGAAAAGCTGCGAACGAGGATTCTCGGGGCCGCAAGCCGAGCTTGTCGACGATCAGAGTGCACGGCATGATGAGGCAACATGCATGTAGGTATCGCGCATTGTAGACGTGGCGTTTGGAGATGAAGTCGTGACAATTGTAGATGAAAAGAGGTAAGGCAGGCGAGGATGCATGGCGGGTGAATGACGCTTGACGCGATATTACGTAAGCGGGGTGGCCTTTGCTTCAGCATCGTCGCACGACCGTGCCTTCCCGATCTTCTTCCTCCTCAACCTACACCACGTGGAAGAAGCGAAGGTATCAACATTTTCTTGGTCATCCGCGTTGCATTACAATAATTACAGATCCAATTATCTCACTATGGACCAAACTGATTCGGCACATTCAAAGCCTTCCCGCGCATTGTCCAGGCGGACAGTTCTTCCGCCGTCGACCAACACTACAGTCTCTATGAACGAGATGCGCACACTACCCTCGGCCTACCAGTCACTGTACTCACTCTCATCACTATAGCTATAGTAACCTCCGTCACTTCTGTATCCGTCGTCATCATCGTAGCGCGCACCAGCCCGGCTGTCACGTGCAGGCGTGTTGCGACGACGGTCACGACGCTCCTTGTACCTGTCGTATTCCCCATCGTAGCGATCGTCACCCCAATCATCTCGATCGTCTCGGCCGCCTATTGGCGAACGATATCCTGGGGTATCATCCTGACTATTTTCGTGGTCGTTGCGGCCCTCGTTCGCACCATCGTAGCCTTCGTCACCGCCGCCGCCGCCGCCGCCGTTCCCAGCATCATGATATTCTTGAACAGTCTCTTCATCTCGATACCTGCGATAGTCGTAATGTGCGATGTTCTGCTGTCCAGTACCGGTGTTCAAGTGGATGTTGTTGTAGTCACCGCCGATGGTGATGTGACGAACGATCCCACCACACCGCATGGATGCACGTGAGCGGATTGGGACATCCACGCGATCCTCGTTGTGTGGCACGGAAATTTCTTCAGGATAGGCCGGAGGCGGTGAAGCAACTTCGGGCTCTTCAAGTCTGCCAACAACGTGCGCCGTGCTCGTCAGCGCGGTCGAACGCTTCGGTACCTGGACGCCGTTCGCCGCATCATGCATGCGCTGGCCCTCTTCTGTATACGATTGTAGCCCCGACTCTAACCAGTCATCTATTTCATCATGGGCTTCGTTTTGAGTTGGACGGGACACTCGCATAGCAGCTGGGCCTCTTGGTGCGTCTTTTGGTATGTATGACGGCACTACGTATGCGTTCATGCGACTCAAGGCTTGAGCATCAGATTCTGACATTGTCACGTGCTCGAAATGATGATGATGCGTGTTGAAAAGATAGATGTTCAGGCTCAGTGGTGAGTTGTACTGCTTCGTGGCAGAGAGTGTAGAGTTGTAAAGGCTGCTTTGTATTCAAGAAGAGATGGAGGTCGACGGGATTATGTGATAAGAGCAACTGATGCATTCACAGCTGTCAGATGATCTAGTTTCACTTCTCTAGGTTGCTACCAAGACCTTGCGGAGGTCCGATGACGTTCACTCGCATTCCAAACATCCAGACAGGACCTTTTTTTTGGAATCAGAAAGACAAACTCGGACGACAGGAGTGTGCATTTCTCAGAGGCTACATTTGCGTCCAGGTTGTTCCATTCCATTGATGCGCACCTACCCTCAAACCCTTTGTACCGCACTAACAATGCCAAAGCACTCACGCAGTACCCACGCACCCCTAACAATGAGCATTGTGCAAGCAAAGTGAACAGTTCCCTGGCATGAACTGTTCCATCAAGATACCCACACACGTGCACTCTCACAGTTACGCAGGGCATCTTACATACTTTCCCTTCATCCCACCCCAGCATCATAACCAAGATGCTCGAATGGACATGTGAGGTGTGCCGCTGGCCCAACGAAGAGAACGCTGAGTCATGTACACAATGCGAAAGATCGACACGTGACGGTAATCCAGGTATGACAGAGGGCGAGTCTAGCTCGGAGGAGGAGCAACCTGAAACTCCAGAGAAAGATGAGGTACCACAAGAATACGAGCTGCCGGATGAGCAAGGTGAAGAGGTGGGGGAGAACGAGGAAGAATATGAAGATGAAGAGGGAGGAGCATGAATAAGAAGACGTTAAATCCACTTGAAGAACAAGCGTAATGTTCATTGCGAACGTAGTCATAGGTATCGTCATCCGCCAATCCACACTCCACAGCCGCATCGCTTCCAACCTCCTACAACAACGCCCAAGCCAAAACCACCGCGACCATCCCGCTTCCAACAACAGGACTAAGTCTCCCCGCCGCACCAGTCGGCGCAGGCGATGCCGCCGCATCCCCCCCTTCTTCCGTCGCAGAACCCACATTCGAAATCGCCACACCACTAACATCCGTCCCATTCTGGCACTGATCATCCGACAGCAACTCGGCCGTAGCGTTGAACATGATATCCGCGCACTATATCACTGTTAGCCCCATAACTCCTTACAACCGCTCCCGTCCCCCAACCCCAGACCACTAGAAAGAAGATCCTCACTCACATTATACAAAGCACTCCCACTATGTCCCAACTGAATAACCTGCACGGTAGCCATCAACCCATTAATCCGCTCATCATCCAGTCCACTATACCCCGCCGCTTTGAACCCTTCTTCCAGATTCGCTTTCCCGGTTTCCTTCATGCAGAACACGCCGGCGCCGGTTTGGTTGAACATTTCCAAGAGGGTGATGTTGAAATTCGTGGCGTTGCTGCCGAGGGCTAGGTTCACGGAGGTGAGGGCTGAGGTGTGCGAGCCGTTGATTATGGTTGAGCCGCCGGTGGGGGGCCAGAGAGTTCCTGGGGGTGGGTTAGTGGGTTAGAAGGCGGGAATTGGGGAATTTGAAGGTATGGGAGGGGTTTGGGAGGGGTTTGGGAGGGGTTTGGGATGGGTAGGCAGGATGTTGGGGAGAAGAAAGAGGAATGGGATGCGTACGGTTCGCCATGTCTGTTGTTTCGTTCACGTTGGCGCATGGGTAGATCCATTGGCTCGCTGGTTCTTCGAAGGAGCTACCGCGCCATGTGGGTGCGAGGAGACGGAAGTGGGCGTTTGCGCCCGCGGCGAGGGCGGCGACTGTGAGGAGGGTGGTTGACAACATGGTCGCTGTAACAACAAGAAGGTGATGCTACAAGTAGGCTCAGTCGTAGGAGTAGGGAGGGACGAGGAGATGCGAAAGCAGAAAGATGTAGAATGTGAAAGGAATCCGTTCTCTCAACCAGCGTACAGCATCTGACATGCAGCCGCCAAACCCTTTATACCCACCCCAGCTTCCAATACATCTTCCTCTCCATCGTCTCCGCATGCAATTCTACCGACATGCCTGTCGTGCTAGCGGAAATCAGATGCCTCTGTTCCGCTGCCAAGCAAGCACGAAGAAGCCTTTCCTCGCCTAACCGCGACCACGGCATTGGGAAAGATGTAAGATCCAATCGAACGTGGTCATTTTGGTCGAGGAGTCTGGAACCGGTGTGCACGCATCCACTCACAATTGTAGCGAACATGTTGTGGCGCGAGCTATAGCTGCGACCCTGCATACGGACCCCAGGATAATGTGCTCAAGTGAGCAAGTTTCTGTCTTGGCGGGGTTGGACGGCTTCGCGAACAACTTGAGCTGAATGGAAGCGGAGATGAGATGATGGCATGCCTCTCATGGCTGAACTTTGGGGTGAACACAATGAATGCGAGATCGAAGAGGCGGGAAGCTGCCCAGGTGGTGTCGGACGTTTCGTGAGGTGGTTCCAGAGCTGGATGTAGAAGTCGCGGGAACGCTAGCACCAATGAGGTAAAGCCGGAATTATTGCATGGCATCTAGGTACCGCAGATCAACACGAACACGCACAGGGAACAAGAAGCTTGAATATGAACATGACTATATTGCAAGGTCTGGTATCATAAAGACTCACGAATAAGAAAACTCCATTCCCAATGCCATACCCAATGCTATGACTCCAGCGCCCAAGAAACATTCATCAAAACATGCTACTTTTCTTCTTCTTGATCTTCTCCGCATTACTCTCACTCTGTGTTCTCAAGCCCCAGAAGCTCTTCTTAGCCTTGGCAACCGGCTTGGGTAGTCCGTTGCTGAAGAAGCTGCTCTGACTAGCTGCGGGCCGATGTTGTACAGGTGCTTGCAGGTATACACCTTGCGGTTGCTGCATGCGTGGGGGTTGTGCGGGAACGGGCGCAGGGCGGGGTGCGGGACTTGGTCGCTGGTTCTGCCATCCGCCCTGTACGAGGGGTGAGGAGTGTCGCTGAGGCTGTGGGGATGGGCGTTGGAGGAGGTTGGACTGGTCGCCAAACTGCTTCTTCAAGCGTTCTGTCTCCTTATCGATTTCAGCTTGCTTCCGACGTCGCTCCTTTTCTTCACGTTCCTTCTGCTTTCGCTCCTGCTCGAGGAACTGCAGCGTCTTGCGCTCTTGTTCCTCCTCCTGCCTGCGCCGAGCTTTTCGGTTTGCTTCTTCCTGTCGCTTCTGCTCGCGTGCCTCGGCCTCCACTTGTGCCTTCAAGCGCGCCGTCTCAGCGTCAAGCTCCCACTGTGCTCGTGGATCTAGCCTTGGCCCCGCCTGCCGTTGTTGTGTTGGGCGCTGCGGTTGAGGCGGGCGCTGCTGTTGAACAGGTCGCTGAGGTTGGACGGGCTGTGGAGGCTGGCTGGGCCGGGCTTGGTTGGTAGCTAGCGGTGGAAGTGAAGAGCGCTTGGCCGCATTGTTGTTGCTGGTATATGAAGGTGGAGGTACTTGTGCGTTCGCGCCAGCACCGCCGGCAGGCTGAAGGGCAACCTTCTCGGGTGGGTATTGCGACGATGAGGGGGTGTAGGCCGGCGGCGGAGGCGGCTGTGGAGTCATGACTGGTGCTGTGATGTTCGGGCCTTCGAGCGGCGATGAGCCCTTCCTTGCGCGCACACCCGCGCTGTTCTTCCGGATGTTGGCATTGATGTGGAATTGGTCATTCAGATCGCTGAAAAACAGATCGCGTATTACAGCGGCCCCGATGAGCAAAGCTACCTCCAGCCCCTTGTAGTCCTCAATCTCGACGCGATAGAGGTTGGACTCCATGATCGTAAGCTCCTTCAGGCCAGAGAACAGAGCAACGGCGATATCCGGTTCCTTGCTCTTCTTGACCTTTTTGCCGGTGGGGTCGGTCGATTTGCCCGTCATGTAGCATGTCATGTCCTTGCCCAGCCTGCCCTCCTTCCGCCAGGCAAAGTTAACTTTGGGCGTGTTCGCATCGCTGCCGGGGTCCACAAGGCTACGATCGAGAGTAGAGTTGCTCGGGGTTCTGAAGGTGACCTGGGGTATGCTGAATTCCCAGCTGACGGTGCTGCTCCACTTCGCTGTCGAGTGCTTAACGACAACGCGCGAGTCGGGGTTGTAGAGTTGGATAGCGAATTCGGTGGGGTAGATGGGCTGGGGCGGGGGCGGCACTCCGCCATTCCTGCGAATCTCCTCCTGAGAGAGTGTTGGGTGCGACCATCCCGGCTTCGCAAGCACTTCGCCGTATAGGACCTCGGGGTTGCGCGAGTCGAACAAGGCTACGGCGTATGTGTTCTTGGCCTCGTGGGAGGCTGGGTCGACGTGGTGCAGGGCATATTGCGCCTCGGGCTCGGAGCCGTTCTGGGTGAAGTAGAAGGATTCGTGGTGCTTGAGCTTGTCGGTCGAGGCCTTGAGAAAGAAGGCTAGAGAGTGGTTAGTACCACTACCGCTATTGATATGGCGATTGGCCCGGAAGCTGGGAACACGTACTGGGGAGGTTCTCGTCTAACATTGCGTCATGCTATACCCGCCTGGATACTGCGTGTGGTTTGTGAGGTGACCAGGTGCCTGGAACGAACGATGAGCTGGCAGGTTAGTGGATGTGCGGCGGCGGCGTGGACATGTTATGGCTGGTCGACCGGATACGCGTCTCCCATGAGGCTGTACGCACATCCCTGCAACTGCGCCGGGAGCCGCTGCCCAATGACGCTGATCTGCCCCGCTTATCCGCTATTCTTGGTCAAGTCAGCCTCGCGCGAACCGTTCTTCGCGCATCCACGTGCTGCTCTCATTTTCACTTGTTCATTCGTATATCGTACCCTTCATCATCCCACCTGCCATTGGACGTTCGTGAGAGTCAATTCTCTGTATCTATGACGCCAAGTAGGCTTGTGGCATGTTGACGATGCCTGCGCAATGCACCCCAGCGGCGTTTCACCACGGCCCGCAGCACAGCCGACCGAGCGATGACCGCAGCTCATCGACATTTCCAAGCTCAGCGCTATAGCTAACGTCGCTTGCTAGTCGCCTTGCGATCGAGGCTTGTCAACGGTTCACCAACTTGGCATCTTCGATTGCCCTGGAATTACGACACGCCTACGCGTCTTTTGGCCAAGCAGCACGCATGCGTCTCGCAAGGCATGCTGCATTGAGATCGATATCCACCCCGCAGAGACGGGGAAACAACTCTCGGCCCAATGGAAGCTTCAATCTTTCAATCGATGCACAAATTGTCAAAACTCGGACTCCGCTTACCAACGCAGAAGCTTTCCTCCGACCATTGACAGCTTGACGGTAACGGCCATCTATCTTACCATCACTAATCACTAGACTTTTGAGTGAGTATCAGAGCAGGAACACGCACTCACCCTGCCACAGTGTGTCTCTCAAACACGAGGGCGGGAACAAAAACAAGGGAATGAAAACAAAGCAATGGAACACAAGCGCTTCATAACCCCAGGACCGTCTAACCTCCTCTAACCCTCATCGGTTTCATTTGCCTCTCGCCACCGCGTCCGTTCAACGCAGAGTACATATACCAGATCGTTCCCTGGCTGGTATGATCCACGCCATGCATATTCCATTCACAAGACTTGAACGTCGGAGAGGTCTCGGAAGAGGCACACACCGGCGACTTCAGCCCTACGAAGTTCACTGGGTGGCTTTGTGATGAGGACGTTGATATCGAAAGAGCGATGTATTGACCGCTACAGCTCAGCCATTTCACCACCAATGCACCGTACTGGAGCGACTACTTGAGCATGATTCTGTACCCATAATCGCAAATATGCACGATAGGAGCTAGGACACTGCGCGGAAAAGGACACGTCTTGATCTCTTTTCGCGGGTCTGAATGCCAATTTGGACGAGGAATTGTGCAAATAATGACATCGAAACAATGTAACAATGGATGGGGTAAGGGTTCAGACACATTCTTATTCGGGAAACATGTATTCACTCTTATTGAGACGTCGGATTCACGAGGTGTTTGACGCACGCAATTTTCGACTTGGTTCCGCGCTAGCTGCTATTGTCCAGCTGGACCCTGATCCTACGTTTGCACCTTCCACCGACTTGCATTACCACATATTGCGATATCACTTGTCAACGTCCGCAGACCAACTATCCTCACGTGTCCGCGGTATCCACATCACCAGTCATGACTGAACGAGCACCCGCCGCCGACGCACACCTGCAGCAGGTTCTGGAACATGTCAACACCACTTCTGATATCGGCGCCGTCGCAGCCGAGACAACTCCCTACAATACGTTTACCAGCGCAGCAACTCTACCAGGAAGCAGGCTTTCTAGTGCTGCTACATCATCGATTAAACACGGCAAGTCTGGGTCGTCGGAACATGAGGCGGTCCCATCGACAGCCGATGTGACTACTCAAGGACACGTCCTGTACCGCAGTGCTGGTATACAAACACTTCCACCAAGCAATGCCGATGGTTTCCGCAAGATTTACGATCGCGAGCCTACACACCAGGAGCTCGTCAGCAAAATTGGATCTGCCGCACTTGGTCGCTACAAGCCGGGTCCATCAGCGCACGACGTCGTTCAGAGCGCGCCATTCCCCGCTCCAGACGTTTCCAATAGGCGTGCAAACTATGTCACCTCATCGTTCCAGACCAAGGATGTAGCGCAATACAAGAAAGATCTTCTAAAAGCAAAGGTCAAGGCATCGCTGTTAGTTAACAAACAGCGCGACGCAGCTCTGTCGGCAGGATACAAGGTCTGGTCGGAAACAAGAGACGACTACATCGTACACTCAGAGCAGCTCGACACCAGTGTTCAGTTTGATCACCAAGGCAACGCGGCCAACGCGAATGTTGACGGCCTTTCCCTACCCAACATCTACGGCGAAAAGATCGAGCCTTGCTCCACTATCACCCATCTCACGCAACTCTCGAATAGCGGGATTCCAGAGACAGAGGCTGGGGTTGACGTGAAAGCAAGGGAGTACACCTTCAGCGCAGCTTCAAGTCTTACGCCGCCACCAACGCCGCCCTCACTCAAACAACACGACGCCAATGCCAATGGGAACACACCCCAGCGCATTCGTACTGTCGACACCTGCATACCGAGTGAGAAGTCCGATCCACCGTCCATTGAAGATTACGGCTACGTTCAACTCGTCCCAAAAGAAGCCAAGAAGCAAGATGTGGACGGGGACAGTGGTCAGGAACAAATGCAGCAGGAGAGAAAGAGCGCAGAATTAAGCGAGAAGGACTCCACGAAGGGGCAGAAACAGAGACCGGCCGTCATTGAAAGCAATGAGGGGACCGTCGTGGCGTTTGGCGGCGAGAGATTTGCGGATGAGTACATTGTTTACGACGCCACAATGTCGAATAATACGAACTCAGACACGTCATCTCGATCGCCTTCTAACATAAGCAAGAAGAGAAAGTCTGTCGACCAATGCGAGCCTGAAGTAACTACCAGACCGCTAAAGCGCTTCAAGTCGTCAGCCACTCACACCCATCCTTCCCCTGTCAGAACGGATACTAAGACAGACCGTTTTGTACAAGACAAAGATGGCAGTGTCGCGCACAATGACGCGTCGACTGCCAGTATCGAATGCGCACAACGCAACGAAGCTCCTGGGGAAGCAGAACGACACCGTGCTCGGTCGATTTCTCCGCATCGGCCACGCGAAGGCCAACATCACTCCGAGGATGAGCGCCACTCGCGCAATTCGCGAAGAGATCGGGAGCCCAGAAGGCGAAGCCGATCTCCCGCTTCTAAACACATTGATGATCGTTATAGGTCAAGAAGCAGCACCAGACAACCGTCTGAGAGCCCATACCATGAAGGGCGTCGACTCCACATGACAGAGTCGCAGCCGCGCCAGACAGACCCAAATCATGGTCCTGTCAAAACTGATGCGACAGAGCAGAAAGGAACAGAGAAGCAAGCACAACGCTCAAGTGACTTGAACGAGACAGTCCTTGCACGTAAGAAGGAAGACGACAGGCGGATGGAGCGAGCGAAGCAGATCAATGACGAAAAGCGAGCGAAGCATCTTCAACAAGAAGAAGTCGAGATACGGCGAGCGAAGCAGATCAATGACGAAAAGCTTGTAAAGCGTCGTCAACAGGAAGAAGCCGAGATGCAGCGAGCGCGTGAAGCAAAAAACGAACGGAGATTGGAGATCGAAGAGAAGAAGCGAGCTCAAGAGGAAGAGTCTCATCGCCGAGAAGAGGAGAAGGACAGGCAACGACGTCGCCGCCGTCGCGGTGACTCACAAGACAGGAGTAGCAGCACACATCCGACGAAGGTACGCAAGCCAGTAGAGCCAGTCAAGCCGGTCGATGAGTATGCACACGCACGCGAGCTCGAAGCACAGCGACGGGAACAAGTATTTGCCGCGCGATCTGCTGGTGAGAACTCGACTCAAGCACACGAACAACCAGTCCCTGCGAAAGAGATTCCAGGTAGATTAAAAGCAGAGCCAAAGAAGCCAGAAAAAAAGGTGGAGGATGACAAGGTGACAAAATCAAGAGCGAAACCGAAGGCGAGCCGGACTGCTCGTGGAGAGATCGAGCGTTACGATCCGAGGAAGAGGTTTGGGCATAGTGGGTAGACCTTGGTCTCAGTGTCGGGGTAGGTATAGAGGTAAGTATCGAGCGGTAGTATGTGGATCACGCCAACCTAGGGAAAAGCTGGACAGCCTAGAGCCTACGTCAACGTTAGGTTCCCTACTTTGCAAGGTTTTAGGTTAATGTAGCTTGCAGACCTGTTCAGTTTTTTTTTCTTGTATAAGGTGGGATAGTGTCTGAGAAGAGAGCTGAAGGGTGAGTCTCTGTCATTTGGATTGATGGGGGTGTGGAGGTAGATATATAGTCTTCTGATAGCATAAATACATAAATATTTCAAACGCTTACTAGAAATCAGTTGATTGTATACCATATGGACCTCAAAGTCGGGCTTCGAATTGGTACTTACACAACGCCCTCCCTACTCCAGCTCTTCTCGACCAGTATTGTCTACGTTCTAAGACATAGTAATGGCTGTGTACAATGTGCAGCGCTCCCTCAGTTGTTGATTGAGTGACAAGGCGTGTGCTTGTGACGCCCACCAGGCTGTTCGTGAGCTCTTGCCCGCCCCTTCACCTCCATTCACTTCGACTTATACACCGCTTCACTGCCGCCAGTCACGCAGTATTGAGGGCGCTTGGGACCCACACTAGCAATACGCGGTCACCGTCGCGTTCCCATCTCGCGATAGCCCCAGCTGGACAGACTTGCCGTCGTCTACTCGCAAGCAAGAGTACACCCATACGACATATCTCGCGAACACCCATCACACTGGCTCATCTTCGCCTCTGTCATCAACAAGCGAGATACGTACATCACGACCTACCGCCAACATGGCTCACAAGCGCACCCTCAACTCCCGCGTCTCCAAGACACACATCACCCGTGCGCATATTCACCTCAACCGCAAGCCACATCCAGCGATACGAACGACGAAGAAGCGCGACCAGAAACTTCGCCGGATAGACGTCCACCCCCCTCCCCTTACCAGCTCAAGCTCGATGCACAAACCCTTCGATGTTCGCTTCGCGCGACATAAGTCCACCTGGCGGTCCATAGCACATGGCTTTGTGGAGGAGCAACAAGAAAGATTGAGGAAGGCGGAGGGAGGCGAGATGGAGTGTGAATACGATACTATGGACCAGCTGGCCGCATTTGAGGCGAGTGGTGGCATGTTTGGTAGTCCGCCTACATCTGCCCCGTCATCACCGTCGTCGTCGTCTCCAAGTAGCGATATCTCTGGAAGTTCGGCTGCGTCATGGGGTACCGCGTCGACCTTCAGTACGAGTACGCTCGCCAGTTCAATGGCGTCACAGCCCAGCGCGGCGTCCTTCAGTGCTGCTACAAGCAGCTCAAGCGCAGACAACAGCGGAATGTCCTCTCCAGAGATCGACATGATCGATGCTTCCGACGAGTTTGAAAGCCATGTCGCCGCCGCGCCCACACCTCCCATACCCACACCACCATCCTCACAGCCGCCACAGCCCGTGACCACGGCCCCCACCGCCAAGGTCACCCCACCCCTCTTCTCAGGCTTAGGCTGCTTGCCATCCAAACACTTACCAACCGAAAAGGCGACAATGATAGCCAAATTTCCCTCTAAACCACGCTTAAAAACACACTCTCCATCTCTACCCCCCAAAGACGCATCTAAACCCGACGTCGAACTAGGCATGGGCTCTTTCTCCGCATGTAAAATCACCTCCTCATCTACCCTCGTCTCCGCGTTCGGGAACCCCCATTTCAAAACCTTCTTCGCCTCCGAAATGGTCTCTCTTCAAACCCATCTGCAATCCAACAAGGGAATTCGCGGCTCCCCCCTCGTCTATCTTAACCGCTCACTAAAGTGGGTCATCGATGCCGCGGAGGCAAAGTGGTTTAATCCCGACATCGACTTTGAAAGCGATGATGTGGCGGATTGGAGGGGGAAGTTGAATGTTTTTATGGAGGTTTTGGGGGGTGTCGTCAGGGAGGGTGGGGAAGATGGGAAAGGGGGTGGGGTGGCGAAGGATACGAAGGAGAGGATTGAGAAGGTGTTTGGGCTTTTTGCGGATGAGGAGGGGGTGAATGAGGGGTTTAGAGAGGAGGCGGCACCTTGAGGTTTGCGGACTACGATGGTGGGGGAAGTCTCTGGGAGGTTAGCGATGGTGAACTGAGATGTATACAAAAGCGTGATTTGCACTAGAGAAGCTGTTAACGAGGGACTGAGGCGGATACGAGGTGGCTTTGCGTTGCAAGTAACAGTTTGTGGAAAGCAACGTAGGCATGATAAGCAGTGATAAGGGTGAAGAATAGGAAGCCTGAGTAGATGGTAGCTGCCAGGTGGTAATCAAATCTTGCATCGGAAATGATACATCAGTATGTCTTGACGTCTATACTCTCAATCATACTCTTCCTTCTCCCCCTCGAGCAATATCTCGTGCCCATTCCCTTCTTGTACGCCCTGTGCAAGCACCCAGCCAGCTATCGCAACGGCAGCCATACACCACCAGGCCAGCCCGATCATGCCTATATCTAATCCTCTTCCAAAGACCCAGGAGAATAGTATCGGTCCAACCGTGCGCGTGAGACTAGATACCGACTGGCCAATACCATGAACGGTACCTAAGACCGATGGATGCGGGCTAACGTTGTTGATGAGGATAGCCGTACAGGGCAGAGCGAATGTACGGGCGAGGACTTGTATGAACAAAGCACAAGTAATGGCGATCCATATCCACGGTCCGCTGACACCATCGGGTGGGGACGTCCAGCTGGGAACCAGACTCAAGAAAGGAGCTGTCGTGTACATGACCGGAAAGAGAGCGAGGAAGATGCGATAGCAGCCTACTGTACCTAGACGATGCGCAACTCGTGGGTAAACGAAGAGTTGTAAGGGTATGCCGATGACACCGATGATGGCAAGTGCGATACCGATACGCGCTGGAGGCATGGCTAGACCGCCGGTAAAGAACAGGCCGTGAGGCGTGAAACCCGGGGGATATGGGTGACCAAGATCGAAGCGAGGCGTGGAAAGATGAATAGTCCAGAGGCCGTTGAAGGTACCTACGTGCATAGCAAGAACGCCGTGCGCGCAGAGTGTTGTGACGAGGTTGCGAGTCCAGATACGACGGAAGGGCAGCTGCTGTCTAACGAGAATCCTCGGCTTGTCAAGACTAGCGGACGATGGTGCATGTACCGATGTTGGTGTTGGCTGTAGCTCAAAATCATCCTCCGGTACAGCGTTGTACCCATCTTCAGATGCGATGTTCTGGCGAAAGATCGTCCGACGAATCCATCGGCCAACGCAGAGACCTGCGTCGGGCCTGTGTTTGCAAAGTTCACCTGTCTCTTCAAGGAAGAAGAGAACGGCAAAAGATGATAGGCATAGGAACACGGCGCTTGTGAGATTGGGTAGGGCGTAAGGGTATCGCTTCATCCACTGTACGCCGTCTTTGCCACCGAAAGTGGAATTGGGCCCGAATAGAGAAGGGTAGCTGGCAAAGGGATCTGCTAGCACACCGCCTATAATTGTCAGTACGTCCCACCATGTAGACCTCTCGATGAGACTCACCCATGATAGGTCCGACCAAGACACCGACGTTGAAGATCATAGGTAAGATCAGGAAGGCTCTACTCTGGTACTTCTTTTCCTTGATGATCTCACTGATCATGGTCCTCATCACGCCGACATTGCCGTTCAGTATACCACCAAGACATCTAAAGGCTACTGCCATGGCGAAACTGCGCGAGAAGCCAAAGCCAATGATGCTAAGCATTGTGCCAAGCAGCCCAAGATATATCGTTCTCTTTCGGCCACCGTACTCTGCATCTGAGAAGCGTCCCCATAGCATGGCGGTCATGAATTGAGTAGCCGGAAATGCTGCGCCGATGATGCCAGCTTGGTACGAGATGGTCGACTCTGGCAGTGATGGATCGAAGGATTGGAGCTGGTAGTATAGATATGCGCCTAGCGAGGTCTGAGTCAAAGGTTCGGAAAGACGAGCAAGCATCAGAACGAAGAGCTGGTCTTTGCGTGGCAATTCGCTCCATGATACTGGTTGACTCGTAGGCTTGTCTTGTTCGACGTCGTCGATATCGGAAGATGTGGTGTTTGCCTGGGTGTCGACATGCAGGTCACGCGACCCTGTCCGCTTTTTCTTGAGCTCATCTCCATCTTCAAATGCTACTGCGTTCACGCCAACACTTGCTGGTGGAGGTTCAGCATATTCATTTCCGTGATTAGGTCTCATAAGAATAGAGGGCGTGCAGGTAGCGGTTCGTCCTGTACTTAGATAGCGAAGAAGCGATTTGGGGGACGACGAAGAATGGGTACGCCATTATCGCTATCTCAGGACCGTTGTTAGCGCCCGGAACCAGAAATGTGCCGTCCCAAACATTAGTGGTGCCATCTTATTGGTGAAGAGATAATGGGAAGTGTGGGTGGTCGCCTGCCTGGAGATGTCGGAGTTTAATGTTGCGTCGCCACTTGGCGGGGTAATCCCGGCGGCTTAGGTAAGCGCATCGCAAAATCCTTGTGGCGCGAGGGAAGAACGAATTCGGCACCTGCATATAGACTGGAATGGACGCTACGGTACAAGCCCATGGCATACAACACCACATGCTCAGAAAAGATGCTCCTACGGTTTACGCCGCCGAAATCTTCCATTCTTGTTTGATCATGATCTTTTGCGACTCTTGACTAGTAATAGATGAACGCTCCGCTCGCTGACCTCTCATGCAGTCCATCCTTGAGGGTGGGAGGGTCGATTTTCTGGAGCTCTCCTGGCCCCTTAAGCGGTCTAGTCTTGAGGGTGGGAGAGTATCTTCTTCGGAGTTCCCCTCGACTGTGGTGGTGGCGTATGCATCCGACGGCGTCAGCTTCAGCGATGAGAATTTCGACTTCGATCGAGTACTCTTCGTGAGCGACTTGAGCTCATAACTGCCTGACATCCCACTACCTCCCCCCGTTGTTCCCTCACGTAAGTATCCTAAGGATACTCCTTGCGTCATGAATCCTTGAGTGAAGCCTTTGAGGAGCGGAGTTGTTGCGGATATGAGGTTGAACGAAAGAAGAACGCTTTGCCAGGCGACGGTCGGGACGATGCGAATGGCTGGCTGACGGCTCTCTACGAATTTGGCATATGCGAGGAAGTGCATCAGAGCGAAGACAACGTTTCTATAGAGGTGTTAGTATCGTTGCCAGCTCAGTCCGGTGTTCATACGTACGGTATCCTCGTAAAGAAGGCCATCACAACGATGAATTTGCTTTTGATCGACATGAGAGACGAGTGGAAGCCTATTATTGGCAAGGCCATGATGATTACCTCGGTGATCATGTCACCGATAGTAATTGCTTTTAGCCAGGGAATCTAACAGGTCAGTGTTTGTGCAGAAACATGTGTGGATCTCACAAGGGGACATTGACGGGGATGCTACCAAAGATGAGGCACCACTCATGCGAGCTAGTAGAGCCTTTCGAAGGAGACGGAGGTTAGACTCACTGAATCGATGCAATACTCGTCACCAGGCCTCGGTATGACGGTATCGACTGAACAATAGGTCGTGGTTGCAATGGCTCCAATCAGGCCCAACACAACTACGATGACCCCGGTACCAATCGCTAGTATGGAGACCTTGACGTTCCGGGCGAACACAGACCGGATGAGCATGAGGATAGAGACTTTCGAAAAACCGAGTGCGATGAATAGCAGGATGCGACTCGTATAATAAAGCTAATATCATCCAAAATGTCAGCGCATATCAGCATATGTAATGAGATAGAGGTAGGAAAGAAACCCTCGGCTGACCTCTTGTGTTTTGGATATCTCTGCATCTTCTAAGATGCTATACGACTTCCCCAGGCCACTCTTCAGCGCTGAAAATAACAAGGCCCACATGCTGAACGCCAAAAGCTGTGTTGACGTCAGCTTCGGGTCATACTGATAAAGGCAGTAAAGGTGGGGGGCTGCGCGACGCGTACATGTGCTACTACGACGACAAAGTCGTCCCAAGTATGCGCTCTCCATTTCGTGAATCCGAGACGAACTGTGAGTACCAGGATCGCATAAATCATGGAAAGAAGCGTGACGACCCAAAGCGTCGCGCCCTGATCGGTGGTCGTGATGCGGGCAAAGCGATTGTCCGACGCCCTGGCCAGGAGCGAGGAACTGGATGGGTACGCCATCTGTCGCGTGAGGCCAAACAGACTGGCAAAAAGGCGTTATAAACGACTGCTATGTTGCGCACGACATGCAGTAATAAAGTTCTGGACACCGTTGGTTGTTGGAAACATGTCGGGCCTCAAGGAACAGATCTTACCGTGTCACTCATGTCCCTCCATCACACTCGACAACGTGAGGCGCAAGAGTGATCCCGAATACTGGGTCGCCTACCTTGGCTCCTGATAGCCGCTTGTCTCCGGGACTTTGCCTGCATTGGTCGCCAAGGGCTGGGATGCCGAGATGATGATACCCAGCATCCAATCCCGATCGATTTTCCTCGTGCGCAACCGGCCGAGCACTGACCGAACCGTGCCGTGCCTGTATATAGAGAGCAACAAGTATGCAGTACGGCCCTACTGTACAGACATAAAACGAAGAGATCGGAATTCCCGCAGCCCGCTCCCACCGGGTATTTGGGGCTGTATGGGAGACGGCGAGTCTGTCATAAGACTCTCGGTGCTTCTCGCGTCAGAGATTTACAGCGCGCAGTAGACAAGATCACGTTAATATGTATTCGGCTCGCTTCACTCGTGGAAGTATTTGTGAGTCGCATCGGCGTGGTCTGATTGTTAGCTCGCAATGCTGTCCTCGAGTCCTAACACGCGCGGCCAGCGGCCCGGGCTGACTCAAGCTTTTCCCTGCGCTAAAGGCCTGAAGTCTCCAGAAGTCCACCAGCCGTCCCGTCGGCGCCACTCACCCCACACCATCATTCAGAACAATCTCTCATTTCACATGTACCACTCCACTGTCCCCATCTTCGATCTTCGCATCGTATCTCTGGCTGCATTCCACGCATGGCAGTTTCACGAAGATGTTGCAGATCAACATGTCACTGTGTCATCATGCTTGCAGTCGCCAAAGACGATGTTCCCATCCGGTTAAAGCTCCGACGCAGG